TCATAAAATATATGGAATGTGCCACTACCAATAAAATTAAAACAAAAAATGGAAAAAACTTATACTACAAAAAAGGCTAATGTGAAATAGATGTTTTAATATTCACAATTTTTTGGGCTGGGACTTTATTTTCGATTCTTATTCCCATTCCGTTCTTGGTCTACCTACCCCCCAATAGTGTTGTTTCACATATGATGCTAAATGGAATCGTTATATCACAATTAAAAATATTTATGACTGTTTGTAATATAGCAATTCTTTTATGGATAATGTTATATTATTCATAACTAAACTAGAAAATAATGGTTATAAACACTGGAAACTGAGAAAAGTTTTCACACTATTATATAATAAATATGAACATTTTGTAATAAATAAATTTTCAATACAGAAAATACCTTTTTTTGTCACTAGAGGTAGTTAACTACCTTTAAATAGTTAGGATTGATTAAAATTTATTCAGTATAGCAGGGATTGGAAAGATTAACTTCAAGTAGCTGGGCTTGTCTCAGCTATCCCGTGCCATGCTTGGATAATTTTAAAAGAGGAATGTGAACTACAAAGAAATTTTGAAGTAAAGTAAGAAGTTCATTTCAAGATCTTTTACATTTTATTAAAAACCTTTATGTGATCATATTAGAAAAGGATGGAGGTTGGGAGTAATTTATAGTTGAATTTTTATGGTGTTTTTTTATTCTTCTTCTACTTTAGGAACTTTCAGAACTTTCAAGGGCAGAAGTTGGGAGGAACTTTTAGTTGAAATATCTTTTAGGGTGGTTTTATTTTATTTCTACTTTTCATATTAGAAGAACTTTTAAGGCTGTAGGAGTTGAGACGTTGTGGTTATAAGCACTCAACTTTGCACTCTTAATTGATTTTCAATGATTGCTAACTAGTTTTTCATCTGAATTTGGATTTTGTCTGATGGATGAGATATCCCAATGCTTTGGGGAGCTATCACCACAGACAATTTCCATTATGACTTTAAGGTTACGACTGGAAATTAATATGAACTGTACAAAATAATTTTAAAGTATTATTTATATTAATTTCATTATTGTTTTATAATGCTGATTTTAATCACCTATTGACAACTAATGTAATTAATATGATAGTTTTGAAACTACTTTCTTTATTATCTATATGTATGTATGTATGTATGTATATCCTGTAACAGTCTAAAATAAACACACTACTACAATTAGGGTTCAACAACAAAAACACAATGTATTTACAATAACAACACTTAGAAATAAATTCAACACATAAATAATTCATAAACAAATGCCTGGCCAGGACTTCACATCAATATTAATAAACAATTTATCATAAATATTGTTACGCCTCTGTTCGTTAGTTAATTTTCCATATAATTTCTTCCCAAAGAAACTTTACAGATACAAGTCCTTTCTTAAGTAAAACTGGTTTATTCTTTCTGAATACAACTTTGCGATACACTTAATTTCAACAGTCGCAGTATAACAAATGCTATAACTCACAACAAATGTCTCACGTGCCCAACAATATTCTCTCTGTCTGCAGTTCAATAACTCAATACCTTCCCTCGCCTCAGTTCTTACTGGTTTATATATACAAGACTACACTATATTCAGAAGGATCCCCAGATTTAAGGAAGGGACGTGAATGTTCGAGAAGGACGTGGCGTGATACTAGTCACGTGACCTCCGCTGACGCAACACTGCCCCCTCCTTAGTATTGTTTGTCCTGAACAACAGCCACTTACATTAAACCAATAACAATTAACAATAACTTAATTAAATGTACAGAATTACAAACACAAAATTACAATTTAAACAAAGTCTCTTAATTTTACGGGATGTATCTTCTTCCGTACTGGTCTCTGTCTCGTTGGCTTCTGCTTCACCTAAGGTTCATCTGCTCCATCAGGAAATGTCCTATCGTCGATAACACATCAGTGGTAGTAACTTCATCAAGAGCTTCACCGTTTCCCTTCTCAAAACTGAGTAGAGTTTCTTCTTCAACAGTGGCTTTTTCAGGTGACACTTCTTCAGCAGCGTCATTTGTTCCTGAAATGTTCTGGACCGTGATAACGCCAAAGTCTGTTGGCATGCACCACTTTTGGCTTACCTCACCGACCACATTTGATTC